AATTAATATTTAAATATATTAAATGATATTCTCTATCGATTTGATACAAAACAACAACAAACGTTCACCCACACAAAATCATGTTAAGCACGACGTACATACAGAACAACTTCGAATACGATATTAAAAAATACAATAAAATCTGGAAGAAAACATCATTTGAAATCTGATAAACATCTGACTAAAAGTTGCATTTAAGAAATTATATTTAAGTTTATATAATTTTATACACCTGAAGATGGTTCTTTTAGAACTGAAACATGTCGTGTAAAAAAGTGATGTTCTAATGTAAATCGAACATTTCGATAGAGAATATCATTAATATATTTTAAATATTTAAATGTTAATTATGGTAATATTTTAATATTTAATAGTTATCCATTACTTGAAAAAGCACAGCAGTCTGGGTATGTTTATAAAACAAATTATTTCATAAATATATCCTTAGGCTGAAATTAATATATCGAGATTAGAGACTAAACATTTCGATTGCGCTCTTCAGGGTTATAGCGTCTTGTAGGTGGTTATCGACGTTTCGGAGAAACGTGTCGGCTTCATGTTATGGCTGACTTAATTTAATCCTGACTTTGGAGGTGATGCCTAATCAGTTCTTAATTAAAATAACAACACCTTGTGATCTGAGGTATTTCGTATCAATTTTCCTCCTGAAATAAATTCAAATTTCTGCACGTAAACGTGTAAATGAAACCTTCTGGCCTCATGAGAACGTTTCTTATAAATTATATTTATTTTATATAAACGTGTCCTGTTGGCGGTAAATGATGGTTGCAGTTTTTGTGTCACTTATGTACATTTGTATGAGCGATAGGAATTTTTCTGTTAACACGCCTATTGCCTGCATTTTGAACGAACCGTATTCGTGTTAAATTTTTTAAAAAAAAAAAGTTTCGACAGGGAAACTCCTTCCTAATTCACGTCGTAAAGCTTATTCTCAAAAATAAAAGTCAGACTTAAAACTTTATGTATAAATTTCATATTTTAGGACTTGAAAGTACGAGAAAGGTTTTGTTGATTTACAACAGAAGCTCGACTCCGCCCTCTTTTCCTATGACTAGACACTTCGCCATGGATGGACTTCGTAATGAAAGGTTTAGTCTTCATTAGTGCTGACACTAGATGCTTGTAACATTCTTCACAAAAAGGCTCCATTTCAAAAACACTTAACGCCAATGAACTTTCAGTACTTGAAACTGAACAGGTTAATTAAAACTGTAAAGCTGTCTTCTGGGTTGTAATGTCGTCTAACCTGGTATGATTTTAGCGACGTTACAGAGGTCCTTTCTGCCTCCATCATCAGGCCGATATCGCCCTGATGATTGAGGCAACGAGGATCTCTGAAACTATGGTAAGTTTCTACCAGACTAGACGGCATTACAACACAGAAGACAGTCATTTTATTTTATAACTTGTCAGATGCAAATCAGCAAATTCTGTAAAATTTGGTGTGAATATCGTGTTACTACGTAGAAAGCGATATTTGTAAATTTTAATTTGTTAATGTCACTAATAAAATACGTTGCCATTCCTATCGTTAAAGAGATGTATTCTTAAATTTTATTCAGTGGCGTGCAGCTTTTGATAAGTTAAATTTTATGGATAGTTTATCTGAAACAGTGTGGCATTTATGCGAAAATTTTCGCTTATCCTTCAGCTTAATAGCTGTAATTAATTACTAAATAAGCTATAGATATAAGATTTTTATAAGGATTTATTATAAACATAGGCCTTACGAACTAATCTCTGTATTTGAAACTATAAACATGAGATGTACGGTGATTAAATTATTTTAATGATCTGCCAGTTTATAGAACGTACTGGATTCCCCATTTGAAATAAAGTATATGTGATATTGTCTTCCCAGAAGATCATATTACGTCTTAAATTTAGGCTTATGTTAAAATATATTGAGCAGAACATTTCTACAGGTTTTCGACAATCATAGTACAAAATTGTAAACGTTCTGAAGCCCTCAGATCGAATCCCGAACGGTAAAAAGACGGATAAGCAAAATGTATTATAAGGCGAGGTACCTCAGACAGTATATTCATTGGCTACCGTCTCAACGAGCAGGGTTCGATATCCGGCGGTGGCCCACTGAGCCTCAGTTTTAATTTCTAAATCGTGATTTTCCTCCGGGTAAAGCAACCGGACTGTTTTGAATGATTTCATGTGCTGCAGTGTCTGTGTTAAGAACAGTCCACATGGAACTTGTACTAATTTCATTCCACATACATCCACATGACTTACCACTAAATAAGTACAACGATGACTTTAAGTTTTAGCCTAAGTTTTTACTGTACTAATTAATACACTAGACTCCCGATTATCCGTGGGCGAATTTATTTGACTGTAGATTAAAAAGTCTTACCTGGTTTAAACGAAATTTAAAAATTAATTTAGAAAATATATTGTAAAGGTCAAAACGTTTAGGAATAAGAGATAAATAAATAATGATGCTTTATTTAACGTATTAACATTCATCAATTTTTTGCTAAAATCTTAAATTTGTTACAATAGAAAAACAAAGTAGTTTGGTAAGTACTTCATAAATGTTATATAAAATCCTTTCTGCTATTAGTAAAATCCCGGCGGTGCCCGAATTTATAACTTGTGTTGGGCAAGGCCGTGGTCTAGGCAACACGGAGTTTTCCTCCGTGGCATCCCAACAATTACTCCATTCACATACAGAAGAAGGCAATGGGAGTTTTCCTCCGGGGGCTTCTCCGGTTTCTCCGTGGCATCCCAACAATTACTCTATTCACACACAGAAGCAGGCAATGGCAAACCACTTCTGGATCATCTGCCAAGAACGTATATGAACAGGTCCCAGTCCGAGAAAAGGATGGAAGGATCCTGTTCATATGGACCTGTCGGCAGACAGAACACTAGAAATAAAAATAAAATGTCAGAAAATAGACTTACGTATTTCTTAGATTTACGTGTTTCTCCTTAATTTTTACGGATAATCCTGTTTTTAATTAACCGGGAAAATTCATTTCCTAACCAGCACGGATAATCGGGAGTTAATATATATTACAAAAAATCAACTATAACGAGCATATGTACATATCGATAAACTAGATAATTTAATTTATTTTATTTAACTAAATTAATATCCATGTGTTCAGGAAATTAAGATGTTAATTCGAACTTTACTGCACAGTCTGGTTGAGAATGTTTCAATGTTACTTAGACTGGATCTTCTTTGTGTAGAACAGCATTGGGGCCTCCCCCAAACATCTTTGAGACTTCTTTATTTTAAAGGTTCTCTCTTCTTAACAAAACATCAAGGCGCACGCCGCGTGGTGTGAAAAAGTATGTTCTAATGCAAGCCACTTCCCTATAATTAACAGGCATTTATAATAATAAATTTGATTTACTAATTCATAAATTATTAAGCTTGGCTGGGTTTGCTTGCTCATTCTTACCTTTTGGTTTCCTGTAAGTGTGTTTTGTATCCTGAATAAAATGTTGATACTCCACAAAACGTGTTCAGACTTATTATCATACTTAAATAGACTTCCTCAATTGTGGAACAAACTTACATATGATTATAAACTGCATGTTGTAAAACAGAGCTGCTGCATTTCTGTCAGAATTAAATAGGCTCATTCATAGCAAAATTATAAAACATTTTATTTTCCAGAGTTTTGTAAAGATCATAAGGCACAGACTAACACGTAAGTTCTCAGACTGTGAGTTCTGAACTATTCGAGGGAGGTCAGCAAATATTTTTGTAATGTCGTATTACTGTATTTCCGTAATTCACTGACTTCATCTCAATATAGAAAAATATACATGTAGAAAAAAAGAATGCTGTAAAGAAAATCTATGAAATTAATCTCAGACAAAAAAAAATAACATAAATAAATGATGATTGAGACAAAGGAAAATTTAAACTCGGTAAGTTAACAAACTAGTAATGTCTTTAAGGGCAAAATAAATTGTCATTCCATTATGGACGCTGTTGGTTTACGTGTGCCGGCGAGGCATATAACATAATTTTCTACTTTTAGTGTGAGCAATGCACTAAGGTATAGTCCTTCAGCGAGGTGCGTCATCGCTGCAAATGACGTATGTAAGTCTTTGGACGTATTTCGCACAAACATTGTCTCCCTTGAGGACACGTTCTCAACAAGGGAAATGATCTAGCTTCATTATCTGTTTTTATAATTTTTAAAGTTTTACAATTATATTAATGTTCCCTAGGTGGATTATTTGTTTTTATTTATATTTCTTCATTTATTTTGCTTTGTGTTAATATTGTTTCTATTTTGGGTTTGCCTGTACTTGGCTGTTATATTTAATACTGTACATGTATAAGTATAGTTAATTTGTGAAATATTTTTCATTATTATTTCATTATTATTGTATGTATTTGCTGTTGGCAAACACTTAAATGATTGAATTGAATTGAATATCGTATAATGCAATTTTTCTGATCAGCATACCTCTCGTCTGATTTAACCGTTCTCGTAATATTGCGTCACTATGTGCAATGAAAAAATAATTGTCGCTTGATTTTTAACGAATAATTAACATAAAAATAATTGTTAAAAGTATATATTCAGTAATATGTGAATGTTTTTATAAAAAGAAGATAATATTATTCTTAATAAATTTCCGTCAGGTTTCATCACATTGTAACAATTTATGACATGGCGGCTCGAAACGGTCATGTTTTCTTCGTGGTACGGGCTGATTTATTAAATAATATACGGCTTTCCACTTCTTAACCCATCTTTTCTCCTTCTAAATGTCTTGCCCTTACTAAACCTGTTTCTGCCAGAAGGACGAGCGAGCATTGCCTGGGAACCTTCTAATTATAAGAAATCTTCTCCCCCGCCAATTTTCTCTTTGCAAATTCTACTCATCTGCTATCCTTCTTCTCTCTCCCTCTTTTTCAGCTTTAAGGGGCCGAACAAACTATGTTTGCTGTGAGCTTGTGTATTGTCCGCGGTGTTCTCTTGTGTCCCCAGTAGGCGGATGTTCCCGACGGTCAAAGTGAGGCTCAGTGGGTTGGAACCAGCAGCCTCGTACATCGTCTTTCTGGACATCGTACCTGTAGACGATAAACGCTACAGATACGTATACCACAGGCAAGTTCTATTCCCCTTATAGCGAGTGTTTGCATGAACAACAATAGATAATTTAGATTCGTCTTTCTTATATTTATCACATTATAAATTACAGCTTTATTACATTTTATTTGGCGACCCCCGGGAGCTCGGAACATAAATTTCTTCGAGTTATAACATCAAATAATAAATAAAAGACATTAAAGGAAAGACCATGGCCTAATTTAAGGTAGGTCTAAGACCCTGCGCGCACGAGCGGAATCTGAGTGACCATATTTATGTCCATCTGAGTTCACGCACAGGGCACTGTTATGTCATAGTCACTACAATATCAGCCCTGGGGTATTCCGAATAGAGGCTTTTAAAATTATCAAGGTCATTCGAATTTTTAATTTGTTCAAACGCATATTTCTGAAGATCTGTTGGGATCAGTTTCTTACATACGGGTCTTTACAATTCTCAAGGTCATATATTTCAACTCCTATTTCTCCCAAACCGTGAATAACTTGTTTCCCATACTCATGTCAAAGCGAGATCACTTATAGGTCAAGGTAATTTGGAAGTAAGGACAATATCGGCCCACTAGATTCCCAGATATAGGTCTTTAAATTTCTCAAGGTCATATATTTCAACTCCTATTTCTCCCAAACCGTAAATAACTGGTTTCCCATACTCATGTCAAAGCGAGATCACTTATAGGTCAAGGTCATTTGGAAGTAACGACAATATCGGCCCACTAGATTTCCAGATATAGGTCTTTAAATTTCTCAAGGTCATATTCATTCACACTCATTCCTGGCAAACCGTAAATACCTGGTGGACCATACTAATGTCAGAATGAGGACACGTATAGCTAATGGTCGTATGGACGTCACGACAAAATCTGCTCACTTGTTTCCCAGATAGAGGTCTTTAAAATTTTCAAGATCATATTCTAGGTAAGGTAACATACTGAGTTGTCGTTATTTAACTATCTACCTCGGAAATGATAATGGTATGGACGTCTGTGTTCCAGTTCTCAGTGGATGGTCGCGGGCTCCGGGGACCTACCACTTCCTCACAATCTGTACGTTCACCCAGACTCGCCTGCTACGGGTCAGCTGTGGATGGCTCAGGGAGTTATAGCTTTCGATAAATTGAAACTTACCAACAACAGAAAGCCTCTAGTCAGGGGTCAGGTGAGTTGAGTCCCCAAGTCTCACTCTTCCTAACTTCACGATCCAACTTCATTATCACAACACGTTTCAAATTTTCTCAAAAGAACAGTACACGCCAGACTACCGAATAACCGGACTTGAATGGTTTTACTTAGCCCCTCTAGACAAGCGGCGGAATATTTCGTTAAATCGGCCACGACTAATTTCCTCTATTTCCTTTTTAATGAATTAATGCTGGGACGACCCGTTCTTCAGGTGCCTGAGCACTGCGGGTCCCAACTTTTCGTTGGCTCGATCTATAGACATTCGGTAGGACTCCTTGGATGAGGGATCGGCCCGTCGCAAGGCCTCTACCTGTACACAGGACAGCACAACACAGCATTCATGGCTTGAGTGGGATTCGAACCCACGGTCCCATCGACCAAGTGGCACAAAGCCCACGCCTCAGACCGCGAGGCCACTCAGGATCTCTAATGTACGGTCTATGTAAGCTTAGTTTACTATGAATAAATTTAGAAAAAAACAACTGAATAGGATTCCTTTGTAAGAAGTAAATTTATTCCAGATAGTAAATTTCCACTCATTCTTAACACAGCACCAACGTCACACATTGTCACCATAACCGAGGAAAATTACTTTCGAAATCATCAGCGGACTGATCCTGATTTTTAATAAAGACGTAATACGAGATGCATCTTGTAACTGCAGTCTGACGTCGTTTGATATTATTAGAGTTTCACCATTGTTCAAATATATATTTATTATTTAATTTTAACATCTACAATTTAAAAGTTTGTGTATAGACTTGAATAATAAATATATATTTGAATTTTGAACACAAACATGACGCATCTAAACTATAAACTATAAATTTCACCATTGTATTACGTTTATTTTAAAACTATTGAGTCTAGGCCATAAAATATGAAATAATTTCACGTGACAATGCCTTTCACTGTCTCTCTCTCTGTGCACTTCACCATAACATATGTGATCTGACTCATAGTACACCCATGCGAACATAATTTCCTTGTGTCATCATCCTATGAAAATAATTGGATTCAGTTTTATAACGTGTAATTTGGATTAACTGGACCGTGTAATCAAACGTAATTTTACATTTCATCACTTCCTTTTCCTTATGTAGATGATTAATGCCCGGTATGAAAATATCGACGTAAATAAATAAGATATTCATTTGTGGCTAATGAAGGGGTTACTGAAACGGCCAACTGATTTACATAAACGTTCTGTTTACTTTGTTAGTAACAGCAGCCTAAAGAGACAGGAAGAAATTATAAAAGAGTTTCTTGTAAGTTGCGATAACAAATTGCCCAATTACCACGCAATTAAAATTGGTTCAGTGGTCTACAAGTTTATTAATTACTCTCAAATAAAATTAATATTTTGATTGAGCATTGCTATGTCCTTGCACCATATGACTGACGATCATTTCAGATGCAGTTAAATCAGTGTTGTTTCTTCAGTTGTCTCGGATACGCTGATTAAAATCAATTAATAACCTCAACACGTCACAGTTAACACCCGCTCCCTTTTGAATATTTCCACAGATTCGTAACTTCCCTGTGGCTTATGCAGTTGTTATACTAAACTGTCATTTTTCCATATCAAAACATTTCCTCATATTCATAGAATACAACGTTTTATTACCGTGTTCACAAGTTCCAACCACAAGATCCTACCTTGAACCAACTGAATTCAGACCATGATTCATTTTAATATTATTCTACCACCTAAACGTTGTTCTCCCATGTTCTCTTCACTTCAATTTTCCTTATTAAAATGGCGATTTCATGTATTATCCGTGTGCTGTATGCCCTTCCATCTCACTGTCCTTAATTTAATCACCCACGGTGGTCTAGCGGTTAGAACGCTAGCCTTGTAATCCTGGGGTCTCGGGTTCGATTCCCGGCGGTGCCCGAATTTATAACTTGTGGTGGTGGTCTAGGCAACACGGAGTTTTTCTCCGTGGCATCCCAACAATTACTTCGTTCACACACAGAAGAAGGCAATGGCAAACCACTTCTGGATCATCTGCCAAGAACGTATATGAACAGGTCCCAGTCCGAGAAAAGGATGGAAGGATCCTGTTCATATGGACCTGTCGTCAGACAGAACACTAAATAATAATAATAAAATCATATTTTGTGATTAATAAAAATAAAGTTTTTCATTATGAACTTTTCTCGTTCCTGTTCAATCGTTATTTAAATTACTTTTCAGGCCAAATCTAATTCGCCGGCGTAACTGAAGAAGCATCCGAGACAGCTGATTATCATGATTGAAGTTGTTTACGTGATATTTTTTAATTCCTTCAATCACGTAATTGAATAGTACCTTAACTGATATTTGTCTTATCCAATTCATAATCATTCAAAAAATGTTAAAACGTTTCAGGTTTCGCTACATTCCATGCACAAATATCTCCCTCGGGTGCATATTCTGCAGACTACAGACCTGGAAACACCTCCAGAATATCAGGCATCTTTGGAACGCGGCCTGACTTACACGTTTCCAGAAACAACATTTACAACAGTAACAGCTTATCAGAATCAACAAGTATGTTCACTGGAAACATAACAAGACTTATAAATTATTGATATTTCATATTCCGGTTCCGTTATATGAAGAATCAATAAATATTTAAAAATCAACAAGTAAATCTGTTCGCCATGTAGCCATGTAGGTGGAGAGGCGGTATAGCTCCTACTCATTCTTAACCTCGTCACTAGATGGGGCGAGTGGCCAGCTTAAAGAACCCGGTAACCATTGGGTGGGCCCCAGAGTCGGTCTGATCGCAGAGGCTAGAGGAAAAATCCTCTACCCCCATCGGGGATTAAACCCCAGTCGTCCAGTCACTGAACTGAGCTACCCCACTATTATTCTAACCAAAATATAGAGACATTAACCAACGACTATTCGATGATACAGAAATGTTCTATTTTAGGGGAGGTGGTTGCTGATTCACTGATAGATGGCTCTGGGAGTCTAATTAGGATTCAGTAGAAATTTTGCAGAGTTGGTGAGCTGGTCACTCATTACTCACGAATGCACGTTTAAAAAAAGACTAGGAAAACTCTGAAAAAGGAGGCAGCCGGGACCCATACTGGGTTATAGAGCCCCAGGAAGACATGAAGGAATATCCATAAATTGACATTGTGTTGGAGAAATAAAACCAGGGGCCATAATCTAGTAGACCATTTTTTCTTATAGTTATATATATACTTTATTCCAGACGACGACATCTCGATGCGTTATTTCTTATTAATGTCTTTAAGGGTAAAATAAATTGTAATTCCATTATGGACGCTGTTGGTTTACGTGTGCAGGCGAGGCATATAACATAATTTTCTACTTTTAGTGTGAGCAGTGCACTAAGGCATAGTCCTTCAGCGAGGTGCGTCATCACTGCAAATGACGTATGTAAATCTTTGGACGTATTTCGCATAAACTTTGTCTCCCTTGAGCGAACGTTCTCAACAAGGGAAATGATCTAGCTTCGTTATCTGTCTTTTTATATTTTTTAAAGTTTTACAATTATATTAGTGTTCCCTAGGTGGATTATTTGTTTTTATTTATATTTCTTCATTTGTTTTGCTTTGTGTTAATATTGTTTCTATTTTGGGTTTGCCTGTACTTGGCAGTTATATTTAATACTGTACATGTATAAGTTTAGTTAATCCGTTTGTGTAATATTATCCATTATTATTTCACTATTATTGTATATATTATCAGTGTTTGCCTGTTATTGGCTTCTTGCTGTTGGCAAACACGTAAATAAATTAATTGAATTGAAATTAATTGAATTGAATTGAATATTATTTGTTACAGATAACTCGCCTGAAAATTGCCAGTAACCCATTTGCCAAGGGTTTTAGAGAAGCGTCAAGAACCATGTACGTATGATCTAATATAATAACAGAAGCCATGACATTGTATCACTCGCCTAAAATATGCCGTAAGTCCGAGACAGGATAAGACAAGTCTCTAAGTATAGTGCAGGCATCTGGTTCAGGAGTTCTCATTAGGCCTATTTATTCTTGGTCCATATGTAGAATAAGCAGTGGTTTCAAGAAACTAAGGGAAAAATTTAAATCTTGTATTTACTCACGTAGTATAACACCTTTTTACGTGCTGTCCAATATTTCTTTGTTTAAAGAAAGTACAAGTAGTTTTTAATCTAATCTGTGTATCTTTAAATAAATGTATCAGCGGGGTCTGTAATTACAAAATGCGGGAAGGAAGAACTCTGTTATACAGATTTAATTATTTTTTTACAAACACACCCCATTAGGTTATGTCCTAAGTCATACGATTTGACTACATAACCTCACTTATTATTCTTTTAAGATCCACCCTTTTATTCTGTTTTAAAAGTCTACTAGATTAGAAAAAAATCGTTGACTATAAAATTCATTAGATATTATTTTGGAAACTGCTTCTATAAAATAATTGTTTATGTTATGATAAATTATAAACTAAATAGCATTTTTCATCAGTTACATGAAGCATTATTATTCTTTTATAATTCTATAGTTAAACTCCGAAGACTGCATTCACGTAATTATTGGGCATAATTTTATGAAATGTGATTGAAATATTAGTCTTATGTGTTCTAAAGGGATTCACTGGATGACAATCAGCATCTGAGTCCACCAGAATTTTCATCAACATCGTCAATGGGACCATCAAAGTTATTTCCTGCT